ACTGTTCTAGAAGATTCTGGTGGACACTGTCCTAGAAGGTTCCAGGGTGTCTCCTTCACTTCTCCCTTTTCTCTGTGTCTCAATGAGTGAAAGTGTCTGGATCCCCTTTTCCTTTCCCACAGAGGAAGGCATCTTCACGGTGACCCCAGACACAAAGAGCAAGGTCTACCTGAGGACCCCGAACTGGGACCGCGGCCTGCCAGCCCTTTCCTCTGTGTCCTGGAACATCAGCGTGCCCAGCGGCCAGGAGGCCTGCCTGACCTTCTCCAAGGAGCGCACCGGCGTGGTCTGCCAATCGGGACGTGCATTCATGATCATCCAGGAGCAGCGCACACGGGCTGAGGAGATCTTCAGCCTGGAGGACGACAGGCTCCCCAAGCCAAGCTTCCACCATCACAGCTTCTGGGTCAACATCTCCAACTGCAGCCCCGCCAGCGGCAAGCAGCTGGACCTGCTCTTCTGGGTGACTTTGACCCCAAGGACCTTGGGTAAGGTTTTTTGGGGTCTTTCAGACATTGCGGCGGGCAGAAAATTGGCATTGAGGGGCAAGGAAGAAAGCTGGAGGCAAGTCAGAACATAGATAGGGTCCTGGCTATCCATGTATGGGTCAGCTATTGCATCAGTAATGCTGTGTAACAAAGCTCCCCAGAAGTCAATGGATTAAAGCAACCGTTCATTATGCTCACACACTGGCCGGGCAGTTCTGGTCTAATCTGAGCCTGTTAGTCACTCACACAGTGCAGCGAGGACTTTGCTGACCTAGGCTGGGCACTCTCACACACAGGGGCCTGGCTAAGGTCGTCTGAGACAGCTGGGCTGGGTTGGCTCCCCTCCTCTGGTCTCCTAGCCAGGCGTGTTCTCATGACGGGAACACAGATCCATGAGAGGCCAGAGGAGACACACAGGGTGTCCTGATGGTGGGGTTAAGCGTGTGCACGCCGTTCTTTCGGCCATTCTCTTGACCTGGATTTTCTTCGTCAGTTTACGACCCTTCCTTACTCTTCATCTCCCCACCGGGAGAGGAGACGATGACTGCGTCAGGAAGCATCGCACACTTCTGTGTCAGCAGTTAAGATTTGGGGCCCCGGAGAGTGTGACAGAGAAGCGTGGCGCTGCTGCCTTATTTTGCTCCAGGGAAGCAGTGGAGTCCGTGGAACTCTCTCAGTGGCGGGCCTCAGGGCAGGGCAGGAGTTCGCTTTAATCCACTGGGTTGGTGCCGGGAAAAGAGGGGAGAGGAAAAGGGCGTGTGCGGCCGGGTGACCGCGTGGGGGCCGCGTCCGCCCTCACTCAGCGAGGGCAGAGACAGTCTTGCGCGGGGCGGGGATGGAAGGAGCCCGCATCTCTGCCCTGCTGTCTGTGACCGCGAGGCGTTGGCGGCCCTCCCTCCCTCGCCCGTCCCTCGGTCCTATTCTCTGCGACACTCACTTGCCGCCTTGTCTGCGCCGTGAGCAGGGAGGCGTCCTCTCCCTGTCTGGTGCGGGTCCCTCCCGGACTCTTTTTCCCTCTCTGCAGCTGCAGGCAGAGGACCCCAAGTGACTCTGTCGCCTGCCCCCTGCTGTGCCCTCTGCCTCTGCCCTTCCTCCCAGAACAAGCAGGTGACAGGGACGTGCGTGGCGTGGGCCGAGCATAGCCGTGGGGGTGCAGCCGGGGTCCCCGCTTGTTCCTTCGTTAGTGCCACACGCAGGTGCCTCCGTGTTCACAGCCCTGCGCAGTCACCAGTTTGTTCAGTGATGTCTCCAGTCGGGGCACAGCAGGGCGATCCTCTGCTCCGGGGCGCCTTGAACCCCATGGGATAGCCGGGGTGGTCCAACTGGAGCCACACAGTCTGGTCCAGAGTGCAGGGAATGCTGCCGGGTGTCATGGCTCACAGTTGTAAGCCCAGCACTCAGGAGGCTGAGGCAGGAGGAATGCCCTGTCTCAATGTGGGCAAGACTTAAATAGGCCGCTGTGTTCTCTCTTGCATGGCAGCTGCCCTCAGGCTGTAGGCTGTACAGTGATCCCTCACCTCTCACAGGAGTTACGTTCCAGACACCCCCACAATAGATGAAAATCCGCCAAGTAGCGGCATTACATTTATTTTATTATTTGTGTATATTTTAAGGCTTTGTAAACACTTCCCACGCTCCTTTAAACCTTTCCCACTCTCTTATTAACCTTTCCCACACTCTTATAAAGACTTCATATGCTCTTAAACACTTTCTACACTCTGACAGCTATGTAATTTTAGCAACATGTAAAATTCTATATGGGTACTCAGTGTGAAGTGGACAAAGAGAGATGCTGAATGTATGGGAATGGTGCGGGAGAGCAAACAGACCGAGGCTACAGTCGCTGAGCCAATCAACACCCAGGATACAGAACAGAGTGTTGTGATTGGTCGCCTTCCATTCCATCAGCCAATAGTGTGCTGTGTATAGTCTCACACAGGCAAAGTTGCACAAGTGGTAGTGGTGTACTGCATTTCCATTGTGTACAGTACCATATTCATCCACTGATGAAATACATAACTGTATTTTATTTTGATTTAATATTCCTTTAATATGTTTGAATTAACATTTTTATATTTTTATGTTTTAAATATTTTAGGCAAAAATAATTAAAATCATAAATATTATATAAATATCTATATGACACAAAATCCTGCAATACAGCAAAAACTCCATGATACAGAATTAGATTTTTTTTTAAAAAACCCGCGATACAGTGAAGCCACAATAAGTGAACTACAATATAGTGAGGGACAATTGTACTTCTTTTTCAACTTTTACTTGGCCTGAACTTGCTCTGCAGAGCCTGTTTCTTTTCCTACCTTGAATAAAACTTCGCCACTGTTAAAAAAAAAAAGCGAACAAAAAAAATATAGCAAACATTTACATTTTAAAAAGATATATTATTGTGGTGCATGCCTGTAATCCCAGGGCTTGGGAGGCTGAGGCAGGAGTATCAATTTGAGATCAAGGCCAGTTTGGGCTACAAAGTGAGTTCAAAGCTAGCCTAAACTACATAGAGAGACCCTGGCTCAGAAAAAAAAGAATTATAGCATAAGACACATTGCCAGAAATTCCCCTCAAAATCCTCCCCCTGGCTTCAAACACACTCATCTCATCATCCCTGCCTTGAGTGTCTTTAGTCGTGCCGTCCAGGCTGCCTTGATGTCCTGAATCAGTTTAAAACGTTGACCTTTCAAGGTCATATGACTTTGGGAGAGGTACAGGAGTTGCACAATGCCCGACGCGGTGAATAAGGTGGGTGATGACGCAGTGTATGTTCTTACGAGCTGCCTTCCCGCTGGGTAGCAGTCGGTGACCACAGTCACCATGCTTTTGATCACGCCTGCTATAGACGCTCGGCAAAGAGGACTCCAGAGCCGCTTCAGACGGCTGTGAGGGGGATTCGTGGCACTGTCTTTCACTGTAATAATTCTATTTTTCTTAATTTAAAGTCTCCATACTTGGAGGGCACCTTGGTGCTCACTGTGGGCCGGGCTGGGTTTCCCCATAGTGTCTCCACAGGTTGCCTTGGGCTTCCTCACCGCGTGGCTGCCTCAGAGTCAGCGTAGTCAGCCCGTCACACAGCAGCCGGCCTCCCCTCATGGAGGGTCCAGGCTGACAGTCCTTTCAAAGACCAGGCGCAGAGCGGTCACCCCCACCTCCTGTCGGCCCGGGCAGGCTTAGGAGAAGGGAGGCAGATGCGGGATGCGCTGCACATGCAAGGGAAGGGCTGTGGCCGTGTGGCGGGAGGACTCCAGCTGGTCCCTGTCTCCTCACCTCTGTCCTGTGTCTCTGCCCACAGACTTGACCGTGGTCATCGCTGCTGTGGTGGGAGGCGGAGTCTTGCTGCTCTTCGCCCTCGGGCTCATCATTTGCTGTGTGAAAAAGAAGTAAGTGGACACGCTCCGGCCAATATGGCGCCGCCTGGGCTCACACAACTGGATGTTTCGTTCATTATTGACTTCACGTCTTCCTTTCCGTGTTCCCCCGAAGCTCGGTGTTAAACATCACCAGACGTGAACTAAAGACTTGGGCGGGGGCACAGCCGGTGTGGAGGGCGAGGCGAGGCTCACTGATGCCCGACCCCCTCCAGAGGGCATCACCGCCAACCCTGAGTGGTGCTGCGTGGAGCCCTGGCATTGCCGCCACCGGAATTGGTCTCTGCTTTAGCTCTGTGCTGTGTGGCGGCGGCTGCCTCAGAGGCTGCGTCCCTCTGCCGGAGCTGACCTGTGCTGTGCCCAGCTCAAGCAGGTCAGCCACACCCTTCCCTCCTGAGTCTCCTGCCCAACTGTGGCATCAGGTGGTCAGAGCTGTCACCCATGGAGAGGGTGGGGCAGGAGCCAGAGGACGGCACAGAGAGCTCTGGGAGCTTGTCCTGGGCCACTGATTGGCTTTAGATTGCCGGGCTGCCACCATTGCTAGTAAGGGAGAAAGGGATCCATTGGCAGGGGTCCCCACCATCAGATGCTATGTGACCTGTCAAAGATGATTTCAGGAGCCAGGTGTAATGCCACACACTTGTAATCCCAACAGTTGGGAGGCTGAGTCAGGAAGATTGCTTTGAGTTCAAGGCCAACCTGAACTATATAGTGAGACCCTGTTTCAAAAGATCAAAAGAGCCAGGCATGGTGGCTTGTGCCTATAATCTCAGTACTCTACAGGTTGACGCAGGAGGATTTCTATGAGTTCGAGGCCAGCCTGATTATAAAGCAAGACCCTGTCTCAAAAAAAATCAGTAGAAAAAAAGATAATGTGAGGGATTGGGGCTAGCTCTATGTTAGAGTGTGTGCTTAGCATGCACATGACCGTGGGTTCAATCCCCAGCACCGAAAAATAAAAAGACGGTCGGAGCACAGATAGTGTTTAAAGTCTACACACACCTGCACACCTGCAGCCCCTCACTGGGCAGCTTGGAAACTTCCCACAGAAGCTGGTCCCTTCTGACGCCCGCTGGGGACGGCTCCGGTTTGAACGTGATTCCAGGGGTTTGGGGGCCGAGGTGGGCACCCCACAGAACCGCGTCCGGGGTGCTTCTCTGTCTGACTCCTGTCTCGCTCCCTTCCCACGCAGGAAGAAGAAGGGGAACAAGGGCCCCGCCGTGGGCGTCTACAACGGCAACATCAACACCCAGATGCCGCTGCAGGCGAAGAAGTTCCAGAAGGGGCGCAAGGACAACGACTCGCACGTGTACGCCGTCATCGACGACACCATGGTGTACGGGCACCTGCTGCAGGACTCCGGCGGGTCCTTCCTGCAGCCGGAGGTGGACACCTACCGGCCCTTCCAGGGCGCCATGGGCGAGCACCCGCCCAGCCCGCCACCCCCATGCTCCAGGGCGCCCACCACCAAGCTGACGGCGGAGGAGCCGCCCCCTCACGCGCTGCTGGAGCCTGAGAGTGAGAGCGAGCCTTACACCTTCTCCCACCCCAGCCAGGCGGCCGGGAGCCACCGGAGCACTCACGTCCCCTTGCTGGACACCCAGGAGCCGGGGCAGCCGGAAGAGTAGGGACCCCTCCACGGGGGCTGTGCGCACCTTGACGAGAGGCACCCCGAGGTGTCCTACCCAGCGTGCTCTAGAAGAGGGGTCGCGGGGGGCAGTGCGTGTTTCCCGGACTCCACCCCTGAGCCTGCCCCCTCGGAGATGAGACCTCACCCCGGTGGATTCCAACCCGGATCCGGACCTGTCATCACAGGCCGGCTCCGGCTGAGCTGTCCCGGGTAACCGGAGAAGGGCATTTCCGGGAGCCCGGGTGAGGTCCCTGCTCCCCCTGGGATGAAGTGGGACGAGGGAAGTGACACTGTGCCTTTTCATCATTATTATTTATTTGGCGGGGCGTGTAACCACGCAGCTCTTCCTGCCTGAGGGAGCATCAGCCTCGCTAGCCGCTTTGAACCGCTGGGTTCTGACTTCTACCAGTCACCAGATAAGAAACACCCCCTTGTCCCTGCGAGTGGGAAGGGGTCCCGCCCAGTGAGGGTGTGTGCGCGGCTGCCCCACCTCCAGACCCTCCCAGGTCCCCTGTCCTTTTCTCCTAGCAAGGAGAGAAATTCCCACGGTGGCTTTCCCAGCTGTAGCTGCACTGGACACCGAAACGGAAACTCGGAGAACGTCTGGGTCCTGTGAAGGTGTTTACATGTTCGCCAGAGTCGCCACCTGTGTCGGCTGCTGTGACACGCTACTGGGCGGCCGAAGACCAGCCGGGGCTTATCTGCTCACAGTTCAGGAGGCGAAACCCGAAATGGGTCTCCACGGGCTGACGCCGTGTGCTCCTGACGGCGCCAGAACGGAGCTGCGTGTGTCCGGTTTCTGCGCAGCCGCGCTCCGTCCCCGGCCAGCCCCCGGCTGCTCCGGGCGTTGCGGAGGGTGTGGCTGCTCGCGGAGCCCCACTCGCATCTCCTCCCGCAAATCCAAGACGAGTCCCGTCTGCGAGCGCTGAGCAGAGTCCCTCCCTCTGCAGGAGGTGCCGCGGCCGGGCTGGGGTAGACGCGGGCATCTTCAGGGCGCGCTCTGCCTGCGCCCTCTGCCCGCCTCCCACACCCTGGAGAAGCTGAGAACCGTGCAGCCCACAGCGTGTTTGGGATCCTGTATCTTTTAAAATCACAAAATATTACAGAAGAATCCCAGTCGGGAGAGCTGGCCAGGCTGGGGCGCACCTGGTGACAACCAGCTAGGGCTCTGCTTCGCGCGGGTTACCCAGTGCGCACCTCTCCGAGGTCCCCGCCTGGAGGCCGCCTGTCGGGTGCTGCAGGCCGGTGCCCGGGGGTGCTGCTCTGGGGAAGAGAAGACTCCTGCTCGTGAGGCTGGAGAGCGGTGTGGCAGCCCAGCGTGTGTCCTCCAAGGCCTTCCTGTTCCAGAAGAGAGGATTTGTTTGTTGTTCCGCTTCAGGTGCTGCCCTGCCCCCACGTTCCTCTATGTAAGGCGGCTCCCACCCAGTTACCGTGGCCTCGTGACCTGGGGGGGTCCTGCGAAGGAGCCCCATGTCGGTCACCGTGTAGCCTCCGTCTGTCCTTGGACTGCCACCAACACTGCTGTCCCTAGCAAGGACCCCAGGTGGCCTTTGTGACCAAGGACACTAACCCAGCCAAGTCCCTGCCCTGTGCCTCAGAGGGGCCGGCCCGAGGAGCCCTGCTCCTCACCGTGCGGTGATTCAGGGTCCTGTGTGCCTCCCGCGCCTCCCTTGCAGTGGGGCCGTGGACACCCGCGCCTCCTCCAGGCCTGGGCCCCTGCCAGAAGGGGGCGGTCCCCAGGAAGGGCCCCTGGGGACAGGCGCTGCCATGGCGCAGCCTTGGTAAGGAGCGAGGGCTGTGTGTGGGGCTGCGATGTTACCTAGAAATAATTTATTTATGGAGAGACTTTTTAAGTAGCATTTTATTCATTTCCTATGCTTTTTTAAAAATAAAACAAATGCACAAGAGTTGCGTGTCTGGTGTTTGTCCCAGCGCCCGCCCGCTGCCGTGACAGGCCACACGTGGTCCGGACCAGGACTCGGGCTGCCGCTGCCTCCTCCTCCCCCTCTGGCTGCTGACCCCGCCTGGCATAGGAAGCAGCTGGTTTTGTGCAGAAGTGAAAGCGGCCATCCCAGAATCTGGCCGAGACACTGTCACCAGCGGGCAATTCAGTGGCCACGGCCTGTTCCGTTTTCTTCTGGTTGAGGCCACACGAGCCCCTGTGTGACCACGGCGGGCGGCAGGCCCCACACACGTCCTTCCAAACCGAAGTGTGGGGTGGGTGGGGGCCGGAGCTTGGGTGCACCCCCAGGGCACGGGGCACATGGAGAGGAGGCCCAGCAATGTGGGGACGGGTGTGAGGGGATAGCGGAGTTGCCGCCTAGTGGGGTCCTCCAAAGTCAACCATAACCCCGGCGGCCGGGGGACACGCACACCTGTGACCCCAACACCCGGGAGGCTGAGGCAGGAGGACTGAAAGTTTGAGCCCTCCTGGCACAACCAGACCCTGTCTCAAAAATATAAAAAAACTTCGGAGGGGCGGCTGGCGACTTAGCTCAGTGCAAAGGCCCTGGGCTCAATCCCAGACATGGGGAGAAAACGAGTAATAATCACTGTCCTTTGCTCCCAGATCTGTTTGAGCAGGGCTGTGAGCTCTGCTGCGTGGGCCCTCCCCAGGTGGCCCTCTGCAGGCCGGGTCACACCAGCAGGCGGCCAGACACCGCTGTGGCTCCTCCCCTGGGCTGTTCCACAGGGCCTCGGTCACTTCTGACGGCTCCATTGGCCGCTGACCTGCCCCCATGTAAGGGGAGCAAGTGAGCCCCCCCGCCCCCACACACACACACACACGTCTGTGGGACAGGTGTCAAAGCACGGCTGCCTCTGCTCACACCCCCGCATGGCTGGGGACCGAGTGTCCTTGTCCTTGGACAGCCCGGCCCTTGCCCCCTGGCCGCATCCGGCCGCCTCTGCCCACCTCCCCGACGCCCCTCTTAGTCTTCGGCCCGTGTCCACCCCCTGCTCCAGCGTCCCAGGCCCCCAGCGCCTCTGTGATCATGGCGGCCGCCGGCACCTCCCCAACGTGAGGTGCACGTACTGGGCGCCCTGTGGATGTGGGGGCTCCTGTGCCTCACGGTACCAAAGCTGCCAGCTCACAGCGAAGCTGCCGCCCCCCGACGCCCCAGCAAGCTCGCTTCCTGCCCAACACTGACCACTGTGCGTCCTCGAGCGGGGGTCACACCAGGCGGCTCCTCCCGGCACCCCCGCCTCTGACACCGCTCACCCCTGCAGCTCCCCAGGCCCAGCGCTGGGCAACTGCAGCCACACAGCCGGCCGCTCTCACGGCACCCCCTGCGCCCCCTCACCTGCTACTCCCTGTCTCTGAAATCCATGCCTGTCGGTTTGGGGGCCCCAGGACAAACCCTGGCCTCCTGCCCGAGGATGACACCCCTCGTCCCCCGGCCCTCCCTTCTGGACTCACGACCTCCTCCTCCAGGCAGCCCTCCAGCCCCCAGTGTCCCTGCGCAGCCCTGGGCGGAGGGGACCGCAGGGGCCGGGGCTGTGGCCTCGGTGGCCACCTGGGAGATGAGCTGTGCGTGTCACAGGCCTGGGAAGAGGGAAGACCGGAGGCCAAGGGGAGGGAAGAGGCCCTGCCAGCCCCAGCTGCCCGACGCAGGCCGGCACCACTTCTGCAAAGCCAGCACAGCTGCCGGCCACACAGCCTGCGCGCTCAGCAGGGCTGCGCTCTGGGTCTGCCGGTGCCAGTGAGAAATGCCTAAGCATTTCTTCGCAAGGTGGGACGGCCCCAGCCCGCCCAAAGAGGGACCAGCCGGATGCTGGGAAGGGCAACTGCCTGTCCCGCACGTTTGTTCTGTTTTTTAGGGGTTTGTTTTGTTTTGTGGTTGGCTGGTTGGTTGTTTTTTGGGTTTCTGAGACAGAGTCTCGCTGTGCAGT